TCGAAAAGTGCAACAAAATCCCAAGCTTCTTCAAAGCCAACTTGTGGTTGTACTAGCCCACACAAAAGCCCAATTTACAGTCCACTTCACATTTAAGTTCAGGCCATACTTATAACACCCCCTTCTTTTAAAACTGGAAGCGTTAGCAGAATTACGCCTGAACGGAAGGCTACTTAACTTCGATTGGAAAAGTCAAGCTCAACCAAGTTCTAAAAGTTAAGTTTAAGTCATTCAAACATCCAAATTAAGTTATTTAAACCTTAGCGCAAACTAAGTGATAAAAAGAAAATAACAAACGAATTTAAACCTAGGCAAATCATTTACATTTAAAAGGCAAGGGCAGAACAACCCTTATTAGCCAAACTAAAACCAAATTCAAAGTACTTAAACAAGTAACTAACAACAAAGGCATACAAGCCCAAAAGTTAGGTTCTAAACTCTCAATTCCTAACCCATCGTCACATAGATCAAATAAACAAATAAAACCTACAAATTACAACAACGTTCCACGATTAGTGGGGAGCAACTAGCAGTTCTCCCTCAAATCAGAACAGAAGATTTCAAACTTAAATTAATAGAAAGAAACCACAACCATAAACAACTTGAAAACTGAAAGAAACCACTTAAAATCCTCAAACTAAGTGGTAAAAAGAAAATAACAAAAGAATTTAAACCTAGGAAAATCATTTACATTCAAAAGCCAAGGGCAGAACAACCCTTATCGGCCAAACTAAAATCAAATTCAAAGTACTTAAAAAAGTAACTAACAACAAAGGCATACAAGCCCTAAAGTTAGGTTCTAAACTCTCAATTCCCAACCCATCGTCACATAGATCAAATAAACAAATAAAACCTGCAAATTACAACAATGTTCCACAATCAGTGGGGAGCAACTAGCAGTTCTCCCTCAAATCAGAAATAGAAGATTTCAGAGTTAAATTAATAGAAAGAAACCACAACCACAAACAACTTGAAAACTGAAAGAAACCACTTAAAACCATCAAACCAAACAAACTATGAAATATATTATAATCAACTTAAAATGGAGAAATCGATATTAAATCACTTAATCTCAATCATAATTATATAAACATCAAAATAAGTAATAATTTCATAGTTTTAATATTTCAAACTCAAAACATTCAAAACAGCAGAATAGGCATGGAGGGAACGCTAGTAGCCTCACAATCCACTTCCTAAGGTTTGTTAGGACAAACCCCCCGGTCATCTCGCAAAGACCGTGTCTAAGATTGACCAACTCCCGGTTATGGGTAGATGCCTATAAGGTCTTACACACCCCCGGACGACAACAATTAACCTAGGTTGAGCTACCTAAGACTCGCAATCAAGGTAGTTAGCACATTCATTAACCATCGAGAAGCAACTCGGCCTTACACCCGACTATGGCCCCACACACAATTTAAAAATCACTTTAAATACTTAATATAATATATTTCAAAATGGTCTTACACTCAATACTTTAAATACTTTAAATCTGCAAAGAAGCCCAAAATGGTCTTACACTCAATTCAAAAAGCATAAGAAAATCATATTTCTTAAATTCAATTTAAACTCCATTTCAAAACACATTTCAACTTAATAAACCACAAAAAGTATCGTCTGAGTTTGGGAATATAATTAATTATCGAAAATCAACAATTAACTGCATTCACAACTCTTGGTGAAGTAATTCTAAACACAGTTTTATTCTTCTCTAAAGCATTACAACATCGACAATAAAATAACAACTCACCCAAATTCAATCACATATCCAAATATTTCGCTTTAGGGGTTTATAATACCCAAAAATCAACTCATCACTTATTTAAAATATAATTTCAACTAATATATAATAGTTACAATAAAAATTCATAAACTCATTTGATAAACCCAAAAATCTTAACTACCATTTCATAAACAACCAAAACGGGGAAGCAACATATAAGTCCAAAAATCATCATAAAAACCCAACCAAACATGCTTCAAATGCGAAATAAAAATTAGGGCGCATACATATACTCAATAGGCATCATATAAAATCATTTTGGACTTAAAATACAAGAGAAAACACGCCCAAATAAAATCATACATACAACAGCCCCTACACTAAATTACAGAAGCACCTACCACACCAAATCACCCAAAAACCCACCTTAAACATGAAACTAAGCTTAGCCATTATAGTATACACTCTAAAATCATAATAGCTCAATATAGGCACAATATTAGGCGTAAAAATTAGGAAACACCTCACTTAAATTCACTCATTTCACACGGTTCACAGCAGACTTGACAGCAACACCTCTTCTTAGTTTTAGGCTATTAAAACAAATCAAACTTGCTTGGAATCATGCCGAATTAATTAGGTGATAGCCTAACATGGTACTAATTTGTTTTGGGCAACAAAATCAATCAAACAATCAGATTTAAGACCTTAAATCCACACCCAACACATTGTAATTCCAATCACGGATTTCAGCTTCCCTCGCCCAAAAACAAGTCCGAAACATGCTCAAAATCAAAGTTTAACACATGGAACTTATACCTAATTAAGGCATACTCATTATATAAACGACAAGAAATTTCCCTCAAAACACGTAAAACGTTCAACATATATAACCAGTCCATTAAACCCCTAAAACCATGTTTAAACCTAATGAAATCATCACAAAAATACCACATAGCAACTAGGCTTTGATATCCATTACATATATGCATTAAAACATGAATAAAACTCATCAAATTGAGCACTAAACCATGTGAAAAACTTACAGCAAGAAGGGCAACGAAAATCATAAATAACAATCTACCCTAATCATGTTTCTACCATCAATCCAACCCAAAAACCCTCTAGTTCCAGGCCAAGGGAGTAAAGCTAGTTACCTTTGATTAAGAGCCATAAAAATTCAGATTAAGAAGAGCAAAGAAAAGAGCCACGAGATCAGACCACCCTCGCCTAAGACCACGCCCAAAACAACTCTCTAGACACCCTTGTTATTCTTCCACTTTTGATCCTTTAAAGGGGGATGAATATGGAACGAATTAGGAGCCCTTGGTAGCAAAAACTAGGGTTCAAATCACCCATGATTTACCCCTTGAATGCACGAAAATATTGAGGAGGAAAGGAGGTGTTGCGTCTTTTTTGTGAAGGAAACTGATGAAAGCTAGCCTTAGCTTGTTTTGTACGTTAAAAGGGAAGGAGAAGAGGAGGAGTTGATCAGCCATAATTAGGTGTTATTACTATCGATTAGAGGAGGTTACTTAGGGCAAAAATGATCAGCCACTAATACCTCAAAGCTGCTATGTAATTCATCCTAAAATGGGCTCAAATCAAGCTCACAAACAAGCCTCATAATACCTAGGTTCAAGGCTTTTCTTTTGGGCTTGATTGAATGATTACTTTAAGCTTAAAAATGGGATTAAGGAAGCTAAAACAGCCTAGATTAATATATTTAGTCATGAAAGTTTTAAGGCAAGACCCGACCCATAAACAAACTCTAGTTGGCCTGAAACTAGACTAGGAAAGGAATGTAATATAGATTATATTATTGATATCTCAATAATAATTACAATAATAATGAAATCAATAATTTAAATCACTACACAAAAATATATATATAAATAATTTACAGAAAAGTGACGAAATGCAAAACTAATAATATTATTCATTTATAATGACCAAATTAATAAAAGGACATTATAATGAGTTCTATAAATATAAGAATTAAACAATAGTTTATAAACAATATCAATTTGATAAATGAGTTGAAGGAATCACCCAATACAACTTTATTTATCGATATTGATACAATTGAACGTAAAACGTCTTTAAAACCAATAAAATCATTTCATACCTATCAAATTGGCACTTTAGTCAAGGAACCACCCATGATGACCCGTATCAATTTTAATAGGTTAAATATCAAAAATACAATCTAAGTGTAACATTTACTAAATTGACGCTTAAGCTTAAGGAATCACCCTTTAAGGATAATATCAATGCAGACAAATCAAATATAATTGAAATGATTAAAACTCAAATATAAAACCTTTTAAATAATTACTTTCAATCGTTTTGCCAAAATATTATAATTCGAGTTTTAAAAGTTTGGGATACCCTTAAATCAAAATAATAATTAAATAAACAATTCAATTTAGAAATAGAGATTTAAAACAGGAATTAGGTTTAATAGGTTTAAATGCATATAAAATAGTGGTTTGAAAATACGGGGTATTACAATACTCCAAGTTACAATGGCTATAATCTAACTTTCATGACTGACCCAAATGATAAGGGGAAGGCTAAGCAAGATGATCCGGACTATGATCCAAATAAGGATAACTATTCTGAGAGTATTGCATGAATGATTGAACTATGTTATGTTTAATGCTTTCAATAATTGCCTTAGATGGCAAAGTTGTATTTTTCAATTTGATTATTAACGAAATAAAGTTATTTTTATTGAATTTTTCTCATGTTCTTGAATGAATTAAATGCATATATGAGTAGAACTTGTTTTAATTTTCAAAGTATGGTATAATACCCAGTTATGTCTACAAGAATGAGAAACCAAGTGGGAGATAGGCGCACTGGTTCCAAAGAAGGGAAGGTCCTTAGAAAGCTAACCCATATCTCTGAAAAAATCATGAAAGTGGTGAACCAAGGAAACCATCATTCTGACCTTAACTCTTACAGTGAAGTTTTTAAGAGAGTTGTTGTATCCAAACCACCTGTTTACTTGGGAAAAGCCCAGTCTTGAAAATTAGATTATTAGGGAGTTTGATAAGTTGTTTGATGCTATCAAGTGCCCAAGTGAGCTAAGGGTAACTAATGGAGTTTATCATCTGAGGAAGGAAGCTGATTTATGGTGGGCCCAAAGAAAAGATGTGTTGTTTAAGAAACCAAACTTTGGGTGGGATGAGTTCAAGGAAGCTTTAAGGCAGAAGTTTTACCCTTCCTACCTGAGGAAGCAAAAGTGTATGGAGTTTACGACCTGAGAATGGGGAACATGTCTATCAATGAATACTACAACAAGTTCATTGAGTTGATGAGGTTTACCCCGGAAGTAGTTCCTACCGAAACCATCAAAGCTCAGAGATTTGAGCAAGGCCTAACCCTGATCCTCCAAGGGAAGCTAGAGAGAGTAAATTTTGAAACCTTAGACGAAGTCTATGGCCATGTAGCTCACCTGTACGGGATTAAGGGGAGAGAGATGGAGCATTCTGGAGAGAAAAGGAAGAACCCGTACTCTTTTCACGGGGGTGAAAAGAGGCATAAGCCCAATGGTAACCACCAAGGGAATTTTGGAGATAGGAAAGACAACAAAGGTTACTTTGGGAAAGGGAATGGAGCTGAGGCTAATTGGCCAATGCTAGAGGGAATGGAAACCAAAGGGGTGAGAAGCCCAAGAGAGTATTTCTGCAAGCGGTGTGAGAAAGACCACCCTGGGAAGGATTGTGAGGGGACCCGATAACTTGTCGTTACCGTCAGAAGTTAGGACACCGTGAGTATGAGTGTTTCAAGAAAGAGGCTGACATTAAGGCGGGAAAGGTGAAAGAGTCTAGTACTTCTAGCAAACCATCGCAGCCTAGTAGACCTACACCTAAGGTTGAAACCAGTAGCGGTGCGGGAGGTGCCCTAAAGGGTCGTGTGTTCGTGATGAACAGCCGTGAGGCTAAAACTTCTAATGATGTGGTAATTGGTGTTTTCCTCATAAGTTCTTTGTCTGTGAAAGTTTTATTTGACTCGAGTGCATCCCATTCTTTTATTCCTAAGACCATAGTTGAAAGTCTTGGATTAGTGAGTCCTAAGTCACTTTCTCTAGATCTGTCTATTCCGTCTGGGGAAGGGAGGAATTGTTCCAAGTTGTTTAGAAGTGTACCTCTTTGGGTAGAATTTGCGTCAGATTTGATCGAGTTCGATTTGAAGGATCTCAATGTGATTCTGGGTGTGGATTGGTTGCGGAAGTATAAAGCCAAGATTGACTGTGCAGCTGAAAAGGTTACTTTAAATAGCCCAAATAAAACTAGAGTGACATACAGAAAGGAAGGGAGGAGTTCAAGGTTGAGAATTATTTCTGCAATGCAACTATAGAATTTTGTTAAGAGGGGTTATCCTCTGTTTATGTGTAGTGTTCAGAAAGTTGGAAATGAGGAAGAAAAAAGTGATTAAAGTATTCCGGTTATAGAAGAGTTTCCAGATGTATTTTCAGATGAGGTATGCCACCAGTAAGCGATGTGGAGTTCAATATCGACCTAGTGCCTAGTACTAAACCTATTTCTAAGGCTCCATAAAGAATGGCTCCAGCTGAAATGAAAGAGTTGAAGACTTAGTTGGATGATTTGTTGGAGAAAGGTTACATTTGACCTAGTTCCTCACCTTGGGGAGCTCTAATGTTGTTTGTAAAGAAAAAGGATGGAAGTATGAGATTGTGTATTTATTATCGGGAGTTTAATAAGGTTACAGTGAAGAATAAGTATCCATTGTCGAGGATTGATGATTTATTTGATCAGTTGAAAGGGGTTGGAGTGTTTTCGAAGATAGATTTGAGATCAGGTTACCACCAGTTGAGGACTGTAGAGCCATATATTTCAAAGAGTGTTTTCAGGACCCGTCATGGTCCCTATGAGTTCACAATTATGCCGTTTGGTTTGACCAATGCACCAACAATGTTCATGGATTTGATGATTAGGATTTTCAGGCCATACTTGGATAAGTTTGTAGTGGTGTTCATTGATGATATTTTGATTTATTCAAAGGATAAAGAGGAGCATGAAGAGCATTTGAGACAAGTGTTATTACTTTTGAGGGAGCATTATTTGTATGCTAAGTTCTCTAAGTGTGATTTTTTGTTGGAGAAAGTGGCATTCTTGGGTCATGTAATTTCTAAGGAAGGAGTTTCAGTTGATCCAGGCAAGATTCGAGCTGTCAGTGATTGGCCAACCCCAAAGAATCTGTCGGATGTAAGGAGTTTATTTGGGTTTGGCAAGCTATTACATAATGTTTGTGAAGGATTTTTCAAGGACTTTGAGGCCCATGACAAGTTTGAGGAAAAAAAAAGCATAACTTTTCGTGGACTCAGGAATGCGATGAGGTGTTTCAGAACTTGAAAGAAAGGTTTACCACAGCACTTGTGCTGGCTTTGCCTGATGAGAGCGATCTATATGAAGTGTATAATGATGCATCGAAGTTTGGGTTGGGATGTGTTTTAATGCAGAGTCGAAGAGTGATTGCGTATGCTTCAAGGCAGTTGAAAACTCATGAGGTGAATTACCCAACCCATGATTTGGAGTTAGCAGCAATTGTGTTTGCTTTGAAGATTTAGAGACTTTTATTTGTATGGGGCGACTTGTAAGATTTTCGCGGATCACAAGAGTTTGAAGTATATCTTCACCCAAAGGGACTTGAATGGAAGACAAAGGAGATGGATGGAATTTCTCAATGATTATGAATTAGACATCCAATACCGTACCATAAGGGTAAAGCTAATGTGGTAGCAGATGCTTTGAACAGGTAGTCAAAACATTCGATGAATGTAATGCTGTTACCAGATCAAATGTGTGTGGAGTTTCAGAAATTGAATTTAGAGGTGATGGGACATGGAGAAGTGACTAGGATGTTGAATGCATTAGCGATTCAACCATCCATGAGATTAGGGAAAGTCAACTTGAGGATGAGAAGTTAAAGGCTTTAAAGAAAAAGATTGATGAAGGACAAGTGTTGGATTTCACCATTAGTGATGTAAGGAGTATTCGTTTCAAGGGAAGATGGTGTGTGCCACAGAGTCATGGAGATTTGAAGCAAGGCTGATGGAAGAAGCCCATAATTCTCCTTATTCAATGCATCCTGGAGGGGATAAATTGTATAAGGATATGAAGAAGACATTTTAGTGGCCCAATATGAAGAAAGAAATAGCTGAATTTGTGGCAAAATGTTTGACATGTCAGAAAGTGAAGATTGAGCATCGTAGGCCCCAAGGAAAGTTCCAATCCTTGGAAATGCCGAGTTGGAAGTGGGATTCGATTTCTATGGATTTGTTGGAGCATTGCCTAAGACAAAGGCCGGGAATGACACTATTTAGGAAATAGTGGACAGGTTGACGAAGTTAGCAGCATTTATACCCATGAGAAGTACTTGGACTATGGATCAATTAGGTAAAGTTTATGTGAAGTTTGTGGTGAAGTACCATGGGTACCCACGGATATTATTTCGGATATAGATTCAAGATTCCTGTCTAACTTTTGGCAAAGTTTGCAAAAAGCGATGGGAACAAAGTTGCTAATGAGCACAACATTTCACCCTGCCATGGATGGTCAGACTAAGTGAACGATCCAGACAATGGAAGATATGTTGAGAGCCTGTGTGATGGAGTACCAAGGGTCTTGGGAAGACCACTTGTATTTGATCGAGTTTTCTTACAACAACACTTACCACGCAAGCATTGAAATGGCACCATTTGAAGCTATGTATGGTCGGAAGTGTAAAAGCCCAGTTTGCTGGAATGATATAAGTGGGACAATGTTACTTATGACTAAAATGAATGAGGATATGGTGAAACAAGTGAAGTTAATCCAAGAGAAGATCAAAGCACCCCAAGACCAACAAAAGAGTTATGCTGATTCAAAAAGAAGGGATAAAGAATATGAAGTGGGAAAGAAAGTGTTGTTAAAGATTTCACCCATGAAAGGGGTAATGAGGTTCGGGAAGAAAGGTAGGCTAAGCCCAAAGTACATAAGGCCATATGAGATAATTAAGAAAGTAGGAAATGTGGCTTATAAGTTGGATTTGCCCATATGAATTGGAAAGGGTTCACAATATGTTTCATGTGAGTCAAATTCAAAAGTATGTACCTGATGTGACACATGTGTTACAACTTGAAACCATTAAGATGGATGATAATTTGACCTATGAGGAAAGACCAATGAAGATTTTGGATACTAAAGTGAGAAGCACGAGAAACAAGGATGTGAGAATTGTGAAAGTGTTACGGTTGAACCATAAAACTAAGGAGGCTACTTGGGAAGCCGAGGCTGATATATGAAAACATTACCCAAAACTGTTTGCCTAAGGTTAGTGGTCGAGTTACGGGGACGTAACTCCTTTTAAGAGGGGTGGAGGTGATAGAATTTCGCGCATTTGCGTTTCGAGTCATTTTTAAGTGATTTTGAGTCTTTCTTGAGTAAGTTGCAGTTTTGAGTCGGGTTCAAATGTGCATGAACCAATAACTTAAAATGATTTTAAAACGATTTTGGCTAAGTTTCGGGACGAAAATTCTTTTAAGGGGGGTAGATTGTAATATCCCGTATTTTTGAGACGTATTTTCTAATTAATTAATTAGTATTTTCTAAAAAGGGTATTTTAGTAATTTCTTTTACTATTTAAATTTGAAGCCAAAATGATATTTGAATTTTGGCGCCAAAAACATTTTCAAACTTAATTATTATTTTTTGATTTTTGGATAGATTTATTATCCATTTATTTTATTTTAAAAATCGGATTATATATATATCGGATATTTTAATTAAGCAAAAATTATATTTTCCTATTTATTTTAAAAGGGCCGAAAATCTATTTAATTAGGCTAGTAATTTCGGATTTTCTAGACATAGAAAATCTGATTTTTCATGACTAATTAATTAGTTTAAATTTGGTATTTTCTAATTAATTATTTTGTACAAAATATATTATTTATACAATCAATTTTATTCCTTAAAATCTAGCAAAATAATTCCAAAAGACCAATGAGGAGGTCCGAAAATATGAGCATATAAGCTCAATATTTTTGGCCACTATGTGGTAATTTTGTATTTTAATTATCTTCCTTAATTTCTATTATTCCCTAATTCTTATTTTCCATTTCATAAAGATTTGATCATCTTATTATTTACCTTAAAATCTTTCTTGATTATTCCCCAAGCAAAGTCATTTACCATTTAACATTTTATGAAAACAAACTTACCTTATTTCTTAATTGCTTAATCACCATAAAACTAAACTTTCCTTAATTCTTTAGCTCTTTTTCCGAGTAATTTCTTAACCTAAACTGCCATACTTTTTCCTACATTTTTTTTACCTTAATTCTTGCATGATCTAGCCTATAAATACCCCTTGAATCAAAGCCAAAAACTCACACAAACAACCACCACAAACCACCGCAGCCACCAGCTGCCACCAGTCCCTGACGCCAGCCACCACTCCTGCCGGCAGCAACCACTTTTCGGCGAGCTGCTGCCACTGTCGTGCCTCTTCTCCTTCCTCATCTTCTTCGGTTTTCTACTTCTTCTCTTCTCCTAATTAATTCTATTATTATTATTATTATTATTATTATTATTATTATTATTATTATTATTATTATTATTATTATTGTTATTGTTATTATTATTATTATTGTTATTATTATTATTATTGTTATAATTATTATTATTATTATGAGGGTTTTATAAAAAATATTATAGATGTTTTAAATTAAATAAAATTAGTTTATTATTCAAGTTTATGAAAAGAATTTTTATAAGGTTTATGTACTTATAATTGGGGGTTTTTATTTTAATTGTTGTGATTATTTGATGACCTTATATTAATTAAGGTTATATTTAATTGTAGGGTGTTTTTGACAAGAGTGCTTGAGGTTCTTTTTGTTTTTGCTTAAGCGAGGATCAAGGTACGTTTAGGTGGCTACATACCTTTGAAAGTGATTGGTTTGAATAGCATGTTTTATATGATATTATTGGTGATTAAATTAAATTGATTTGAATTATGATTTATGAAATGAAGTATGTTTGGAGGAATTTGATTTTAATATATGTTTTAATAAATATATTTATAAGATTGATTTTAATATCATATTTTGAATGGTTTGAATTATTTATTATGTTTAAAGGAATTTGATTTTTAAAAGTATGTTGGATTGATTTACAGAGTTTTGAGTTGGAATTTAATATTTAAAAGGATTGATTTAAATTCATGTTAAATTAAATAAAAAGAAGTTTTGAGTTGAATTATCATAAAGGATTGAATTATTGCTTTAAATAGGAATTATTGAATTATTTATTAAAGCTTTACAAGCATGATTATATTAATCACACTTAGGAGAG